CAGTTCTGAGGAAGGGTCACCGGACCCGAAACGTTAACTCTGTTTTCTCCTCCACAGATGCTGCCAGACCTGCTGAGCTTTTCCAGCAACTTTGTTTTTGTTCCAGAGTATAAACCAAAATCCTCAATGGTTCTTCATAAATTGGTCATGAGTAGTCTTCTTGAACTGTTGCAGTCTGTGTGTTATGGTGTAGGGAATCTCAAGATTTAGACCCAGCAACATGAAAGGGATGAAAATACATTTCTAAATCAGGATGTTGTCTGAGTTGGAGAAGGTGATGTTCTCATGTTGCCACAGTGCATACAAATATACAAATCAGGAGTGGGAGAAAAGTCATTCTGCCCCTCGAGCTTCTCCTCTATTCAATAATATCACGGCTAATCTGATTGCAACCTTGAATCTACATTCCTGCATACCCCTGATGCCTTTCAATCCCTTGCCAAACACAAATCTATTCACCTCTGCCTGAAAAATATGCAAGTACTCTGCATTCAAAACCTTGTTAGATAGAGAATTCCAAAATGAGAGAAAAAGAAACAACTTGTCAAATCTCTGTTTCAAGTGAAGCCAGTACAAGATTCTCCCATAAATATCCTTTCCACATCTATGCTGTCTCAGGTTATTTTTATGTTTTAAGTCACGTCTTATCCTGTTAAACTCAGCTAAACCTAGTCTATCCAACCTTTCCTCATGAGACAACACAACCATCCCAGGCATTACTCTAATAAACCTCCTCTAAACTGTTTCTAATACATTTACATCCTTCCTTTAATAAAGTGACCAATTCTGTGCACTGTACTCAAGCTGAGGTCTTACCAATGTAATTTGTAAAACTGTTAAGTATAACCTCCTGACTTTTGTATTAAATTACCCTCATGATAATTAATAACAAAAGTTTCTATTTACATACTGTGCCTGCATACTCACTCTTGTGATTTATGCACTGGTAAGGGAAACATAGTGTCTGTCAGAAAGGGGAAAGAAGATTTTATTTTTTAAAAACAGGCAGGATCTGGCCAAGGTAGACTGGGATCAGCTTCTTCTGGGTAAATCTACACCAGAACTGTAGGGAGTTTTCAAAATGCAATTTGTGAGAGTACAGGCCCAAAATATTCCATTTAGGGTGAAATGTAGGAGCAACAAGTCCAGAGAACCCTGGATATGCACGAATATTCAGGACTTGAAAAGAAGAAAAAGAGATACTTTTAATAGGTACAAAGGTACCAATCAATTGAGGTCCTAATGAATTATAAAAAATGCAGGGGGTAACTTAAGACAGCAATCAGAAGAGCAAAGGGGTTGGGGGACATTAAAATGAACTGGCAGGTTTATTAGGAACAATTCCAAGATATTCAATAAGTATATCCAGTGGAAAAGGATAACCAGAGATAGAGTAGGGCCCACATACGTGTGGAGCAGAGGACACTAGCAGGGTATCAAATGAATGTTTTACACCTGTTCCGCTTTGGAGAATGTAGGTGCAAAAGTCAGGAAGAGGGACTGTGAAATTCTTCAGCAGATTATCATAGGGTGTGAGGAGGTATCAGAGATTTTGACAGGTTTAACAATTAACAAATTTACAGGTCCAGATGCATTGTATTCCAGGCTGTTGTGAGAGGTGAGGGAAGAAGTTACAGGGTCTCTGACCCACTGTTTTTAATTTCTCTCTGGCTACAGGGGAGATGTCAGGCAATTGAAGGACAGGGAATGTGGTTCCACTTTTCAAGAAATGTGGTAGAGATAAACCAGGGAAGTACAGAGCAGAGAGTCTCATATCAGTGGTAAGGGAACTATTTGAGAAAATTCTGAAGGGAAGAATTAATCTTCACTTGGAGGGGCAAGATTTGATCAGGAATTGTCAGCATGGCTTTGTCAGAGGGAAGTCATGCCTAACAAGTTTGACTGAATTTTTCGAGGAGGTGTTTAGTTGTGCAGGTAAGGGCGGTGCAGTTGATGCTGTTTATATGGATTTCAGTAATGTCTTGGACAAGGTCCTACATGGGAGGTTGATAAGGAAGGTAAAAGCACATGGGACCCAGAGTAACTTAGCAAGTTTTATCCAAAATACAACTGGATAAGCTCAGATTGTTTTCTTTAGAGCAGAGAAGGCTGAGAGTAGACCTGATTGAGGTATATAAGATTATGAGGATCTTAGACAGGGTGGATAGAAAACAGATGTTGCCCTTAGTTGAATTGGTTCAGTGACAGGAGACGGAGGGTGGCGATAGAAGGCTGTTTGTGTGACTGGAGGCTGGTGTCCAGTGGCGTACTACAGGGACTGGCGTTGGGTCCCTATTGATATATATAAACAATACAGAAGAAAATGTGGGGGCAATGTTAAGTAAGTTTGTGGAAGACACAAAGATTGGTTGTGTTATTAATAGTGAGGAATAAGGTCTTAGATTACTGGATGATATAAGTGGATTAGTCAGATGGGCAGATCAGTGGCTGATGCAACTTATTCCTGATAAATGAGGTGATGCACTTTGGAAGAAGGAGTAACAAGAAAAGTGTATTCAATGCATGGCAGGACACTAGGAAACTCAGTGGAATAGAGGGACCTTGGGGTGCTTGTCCACCAATCCCTGAAGGTGGCTGGACAGGTTAATAGGGTAGTTAAGGAAGTATATGGGATACTTGTCTTTATCAGTCATAGGATAGATTGTAAGAGCAGTGAGGTTATCTTGGAGCTGTACAGGAATTTGGTTAGGCCATAGCTGCAGTACAGTGTGCAGTTCTAGTCACCACACTACAGGAAGGTTGTGATTGCAGTGGAGAGGGTACAGAGGAGATTCACCAGGATGTTGTCTGAAATGGAGTAGTTTAGCTGTAAAGAGAGACTGGATAGGCTCGGGTTGTGTCCTTTAGAGCGGAGTAGGCTGAGAGTAGGCTGATCGAGGAATATGAGATTATACGAGACTTAAACAGGATAGATAAAAAACAGATGTTTCCCTTAGTTGAAGGGTCAATAACACGGGGACATATTTTTAAGGTGAAAGGCAGGAGGTTTAAAGGGGATTTGAGAAAATGTTTTTTCACCCAAAGGGTGGTGGAAATCTCAAATGCACTGCCTTGGCGGGTTGTTGAGGTAGAAAACCTCACAAACTTTAAAAAGTAGTTGGATGCGCACTTGAAATGTCATAAGACGGTTATGGGCCAAGTGCTGGAAAATTTGACTCGTGTAGATTTATAGTAGTCTTTTGTCAGTGTACACTTGATTGGCTAAAGAGTGTCTTCTATACTGTATGATTCTACAACACCTAGACCCCTCTGCTGTCACATGTGTGGAAGGTATAAGCTTTCTTGAGACCCCAGTGTGTTTAGTATGCCACAGCCATCTCATGGGGTTAATAAATAACGACTTCAAACACATTCCAAATTGGAATGAAGCCAAGTACTCTCAATAAATGAATGAATATAACTACAGACAAGATCTGTTAGGACTATTTTCACTGGAGTTTATAAGAATGAGGCAAGTTCTTATTAGAAATAGATAAAATTCTAACAGTACTATACAGAGTAAATGCAGGAAGGATGACTGGGGAGTCAAGAACCAGTGGTCACAGTTGAAGGATACAGGGTATGCCAGTTACAACTAGGATGAGGCAAAATCTCTTCACCCAGACAGTGGTGAACACGTGGACCTCTCTGCCACAGAAAGCTGTTGATTCCAAAACATTGAATCATTTCAAGAGGAGTTAGATTGTAGAGCTTAAGACATTTGGGATCAAAGGGTGTTGGGGAAAGCGAGAATAGGGTATTGAGTGGAATGATCAACCATATTCATCTTGAATGGTGGAGCAGGCTCGAAGGGCTGAATGACCTACTCCTGCTCCTATTTTCTATGTTTGTACAGACACATTCCTCCATTTCTCATTCTGATGGTCATGAGTAGTTCTGATGTGGCGGTCTCGTCCAAGTATGGAGGTCTTCTTCGTCTTCTGCTTCCACGTATTCCAGCGGCCCGACGTGGGGGTCTCCTGGTGTGGCGGTCTTGTCCCCATTTGGGGGTCTTCTTTGGCGTTAGCTTCCAGGTATTCCAGCAGCCTGGCTGACAGTCACGTCCAGGAGTGGCAGTCTCGGCCTGGCATGATGGCCTTCTTCGGTAGAGGCTTCTGGCCCAGTATTCCAGCAGACCAGCACGGCAACCTCGTCCTTTCTTTGTCTTCAGGGTATCCCATCATTCCTTAATTGGCTTTCCTCAGCCCAGGAGCCATTAGCTGAACTGTATTGAACTTTGTCTTAATTTTACTTTTTTGCCTTATCATACATGATTTCTGTCATTGACGTAGGCATTGTGATGGGGTGACTTATGAAACTTTTCATTGTATTTCTCATGTAAAAGTACACATAATAATACATTTCCATTCTGTTCTATTCTATTAAAGATATTTTTTTTCTCAGAAAAGTCTAGAAGCTAGAAATAATGTGGGTTGTCATAGTGAATGAAGGCTTAATACTCCTCCAATTACAAATTTGGCTGCTGGAGAAATGCATTTATTTTAAAGTAGGTTAATGCCTCTGGTAGAAAAAAATAGGAAAATGTAATGTCGCTGCTTTGACTTCCATAATTTCCATTGTAAAGTTTTCCTTTAGCCATGCAAACTTCAGTTCTTAACCATGGTAGCAGTGCCTACAGTGCTAATAGTTCAATGCTTTTGCCACCAATAACTTTTAACAATTCAAGTTACAAGGGATAGACTGAGGAATCCAATCAGAAGAGTCAGGCAAAAGATACTCGATTTGTCTAATGAAAATTTGAAGCAAAATAAATCTAGTCCACATCTTCTGTCAGTGCATTCAGTATTGGCATTCAGTTATTTTCTCCTCACAGTGTCACAGAATTGTTGCAGTGTAGAAGGAGGTCCTTTGGCTCATTGTGCCATTGTACTGGCTTTCCAAATTCACTTAGTGCCAATCTCTCTCCTTCTCCCCATAACCCTGCATATCCTTTACAGATAACAGCCTGATTCCATTTTGAATGCCTCAGTAGAACATGCCTGTACTAAATTCTTGGGCAGTGCATTCAGGAAATTAGCAACTTTCTGCATGAACAATTCTTTTCCCCTAAATTGCCTTTCCTCCTTTTGCCATTTTTTTAAAATCAGTGCTGTGTCATTCTTCACAAGAGGGAACAGGTTCTCCCTATTTACTCTGTGCAGATCCCTCATGATTTTCAATAACTGTCAAATTTCCTCCCAGCTCCAAGGAAAGCAGCTTCAGCTTCTCCATTATTTCTTCATAACCCAAGCTCTTCCTCCCTGGTATCATTCTGGTGAATCCTTTCTCTACTCTCTCCAATGGTCTTCACATCCATCCTAAAATGCTGTTCACAGAACTGGGCACAATATTTAATGGAGGCTAAACTTGCGTCTTTTATAAGTTCCACATAACCTCCTTGCTCTTTTACATTATGTCCTCAATAACAAAGTGCAAGCTGCTGTAACTCCACAGAGGCTAGTATTCCGTTACCAAGTCACCCTTTATTTACACGTGGAGAGTCCTTGACACTGATCCAGCTCCCTCAGAGCCAGCTCTCAGAGTGAAAAAGATGTCTGACACTCCTGTCCTTATCTGTCAGCCATGGCTTCCTGATTGGACCAGATTAACAGCCCCAATCAGGGAACTCATATTCTATGAGGTTCTCCTGGCTGACCTCATTACAATCACTACAACATGCTTTATTAATTTGCTACAAACATACCATTTGATATCATAGATTTTCAAGAAAAATACATCAAATGAACATTCTGCTTTAAAAATCTATACATTTGAAATTAATTATTGAAAAAAAAACTGGCTTCAAGATGCAGACTATTTATCTGTTACAGTGGAATGTTTCAAAATCCGTAGAACTGTGTCTCAGTCTCGAGTCACAAAGTTGAGACATTTTGAATGTACCCATTGCTGGATAACAAAATGTGTCTTTCTAGAATGCAAAACAGCGCTTCCTTCCTCAACAGACATAAAAGGTGGAGCCATTTGAATCAACTATTACGGCATTTGAAAAGACAATTCCCTCAGCTCGAAGACAACACAGTGGTCTAGAACCAAGCTGTGGACTAATGATACTTAACAGTTTGAAATGCTATGCAACAGATTGGAGCAGGCACGATTACGAATGGAAATGCATAATATGTGAACAGAATCTTAGGATGTAGAACTGCAAGAAACAGGCAGTGGGGCAAACTCTCTCAGGGAACAGTTTTGATCAAGTGGAGAATAAAGAGAAAAGGTAAGGAAAGTGAGGCAAAATAAGCTGAAGCTGCAGCACTTCTGAACAATAAGGAACGTTCTCTCACCATCCTAGAATCTGCTGTTAATGAAGAACTACCTGTATAAGGAAACACCACCTATTCAATATTGATTTCACCACAGATATTATGTCTAACTTCAAGTGTTAACCTATTTGCTTCAGCAACAATGAACTTTAGCAATGACATACCATAGATATGTGGACCACAATTGGAAAAGGTTACTGCTTTAAACCAAGGAATCTATGGAAAGGGGTGTTACAGTTTTATAACGAGTTACTGAACTTACAGTGAGTTGTAGTTACATTGTTGCTTGGTTCAATTAGTGGGGGAGGATTGGTAGATTCATCAACACCACGGGTGTGCATTCTAGGCAGTTGCCCGGAGACAGGCTGTTGACTTTTTTTTAGTCAGGGTCAGTTGGCTGCCTTCTAGGACTTGCAGCCCACAGGCAGAGCAGATTTAGTCACCACCCTCTCTTTGTTCTTATACTGCCTAACATCAGCTCCTCATACCTGCAGAACTCTTAGATGGTAATAGCTCCGGCATTAGAAGAAGCATGCTTCTCAGATCATCAAGCACATGATTGCAAATTTCACATAATACATTTTCTTTAACATTTACTGCATTTTTCTATACCCACTGGGTACACTGGAACTTGTGAGACAAGAAGCTTCTGATTTCAAATATGGACAATAAAAAATTTGTATTTTTGCATCCTATTTTTGTATTCTAAATAGGGTTAATCTTAGGAGGGTGAACTCATCTTTGGTCATAGAGTCAAAGTCACACAACACGGAAACAGTCCCTTTGATCCAACCAGTCCATGCTGAACATAGCCCCAAACTAAACTAATCCACCTACCCGCACCTGGCCCATACCTCTCCAAACCTTTCCTATTTACATACTCATCCAAATATCTTTTAAATGTTATAATTTTACCCACATTCATCACTTCCTCGGGAAGTTCATTCCACATGCGAACCACTCTCTGTGCAAAAAATTTGTCCCTCGTGTACACTACATTATAAACACTTTAATAAATGGGGCATATTCGAAATATAAATATGCCATTCTTGATAGTCTCAGTGCGTCTTAAGTAGACAAGCTCTTTTTTTTTCTTTTCACAACAGTGACAACATGGACATAACCATTTTGCAGTAAATTATAATGATGGAGTGAATTAAAGGATTCAAGTTCATTATTTTCATAACACTTAAACAGTGAATTACTGTTATAATTGAACTTACATGCACATACTCCAAATTCATATTTAGGTCTATCACCAGAATAGTCACAGTACAAGTTCTTGTGAGGGTCGCAGGTGTCAGCTTCAGTGCAGAGCTCCCCAAATTGCTTTGCACAGGTTTTGCAACATCCACAGCCATCAGTAACCAGACTCACTCCAGGCAAACATAAAGGTTCGCGTGGACACTTGCATGGCCATTTGCAAAATTGTCTGCGCTCAGGAACGTCTTCAATTCCTGCTGTCTTCCTTCCAGTTTTCACATGTGCTTGCTGCACATGACTCTGTTGTAGCCTGCATAAGAACTTAGATACAGTTAAAACATCTGAGGAATCTTGTCTCAAGGATGCTCTGCTCCTGTTCTGCTATCTTTTAAAAAAATGAGTTAAAAGTATGTGAATGGAAATGTATCAGACGATATTTGCAATCATGTAACAAAAAGTTTACATTTAACCTTGTGTCTTTGGGAGGTCTTCCACTTGCTACTGCTGGTAATATTAGTGCAAACCAGGCAGAATCGGTCATTCCAGTGCATAACAGAGGGCATTTCAACTTGGGCTGAGGCTAAATTCACTTGCATCACATCCAGCTCACAAACAGAACTTACCTTATCCAAAATCAAAACTGCAAGATTTCATCCACGATTGTGATACTCAGAAAGCTCATCAATTTGCACTGATTTTCTTTGACAGACAGACATGAATTGGCACATTTTAAACTGAAAAATCTTTAAAGAAAACTGAGCAATGCATACTAATTAAAGAATGGTTCAGTAAAATTTTTAGTTATTTTCAGTGATTCTAAATAGGGTTAATCTTAGGAGGGTGAACTCATCTTTGGTCATAGAGTCAAAGTCACACAGCACGGAAACAGACCCTTTGATCCAACCAGTCCATGCTGAACATAGCCCCAAACTAAACTAATCCACCTACCTGCACCTGGCCCATAGCTGTCCAAACCTTTCCTATTTACATACTTATCCAAATATCCTTTAAATGTTATAATTTTACCCACATTCATCACTTCCTCGGGAAGTTCATTCCACATGCGAACCACTCTCTGTGCAAAAAATTTGTCCTTCGTGTCTTTTTTAAATCTGTCTCCTGTCACCTTAAAAATATGCCCCCCAGTCTTGAAATCTCCTGTCCTAGGGAAAAGGCCACTACCATTAACTCTGCCTATATCCCTCATTATTTTATAAACTTCTATCCTGTTAATAATATTACATCAGATTACCAGCATTAAATTTTTAATAAGTACAATTATATTCTATCATGCTGTACTATTTCACTGTTGCATAGAAATTATATATTTAAAATCATGCTAGTTAATAAACATTTACTAAATCAAGGGATTGATGACATAGTATGGAAATCTTGACCTAAATGAGTCCATGTTTGGGTGGACTCTGACCACCTGAGAGAGTATTAATATTTCTTTTCAGTTTTGGCTTTCAGTTCTGGTGCTGAAGTAAACAAGGTTCAGAATTATTCTTCTTCATGTAGGTTGGCAAATAAACACACTCTGTTTTGTTGAGGATCTATTTGGATCCAGAAGACCATAGTTGATTTAGTCTGAGTAGTGGACAGAGCACTCCAATTGGCTAAAATGTCATGGGTATAGAGAAGGAACAGAATTGTATGAAAACCCACTGATGCTTGCTTTTAATATTCTCATCCTCCTTTTTGAATCCCTCCATGGCCTTCGCTCTCCCTAATTCTGGAACCTCCTCCAACACCAGAGCCCTTTGAGATCTCTGAACTCCCCTCATTATGGTCTCTTGTTCATCCTCAATTTGAACTGGTGGCTGCCTTCTGCAGGTTAGATTGTAGACTCTGGAAGTCCCTCCTTACATCTTTCCACCTCCTTACTTCTCTTTATCCTTTAAGATATTCTTTAAAACTTTCCTATTTGACTAAGTTTTTGAACATCTAGCCTAATATCTTATTATGTGGCTTAATGCTATAGTTTGCTTTACAAATGCTGCTCTGAAGCGCCTGGCAACATTTCCTTATATTACATTCACTATATAACCATATGTTGTTGTTGTTGTTGCTGTTATTGCATAATACAACTTTGACAATATATGTACAAATCTTAGCATTAGATGTTGGCCCATGGAAATGTGTATGTGCAGCAGGTATGGCTGGAAGCTGGGTGATGTGCCTGTACATTAACGATGTAGCATGTACGTAGCATGCTCCTGTTGGGCAGTAATGCTAGGGGAGCAATTGGAGGGCAGCGTACTGAGCAAAATGAGATGTGTTCGGTGTGGTGTGTGAGGATGTGGTATGGAATCTTGAGATGACACTTTTTCAGGAGTCAGGACCATTTCTGAATCTCAACCATGCACACATCAATCCACTGATATCTTCTGAGAAATGGACTCCTCATTGGCCTTCTCTATGACGGCAATTAAATTTAGGATGGTGGTGTATTCTGGAGTCTACAGGCCCATTCAGTGAGTTGGGGATTGCTGGCAGCCTTAATGGAGGAGGTGGAATCTGCTCAGGTAGAAAGGAGAGGGCCCAGAAAGGTTCAAAATTGATGAGGGCCAAAGCCAGCATACCCCTCCGAGTGAAGGGAAAACCCATTTGAAGGAATTGTGTGAACTGCAGGTACAGTCATTCCAACTGTGACCTGTCATTGGGATATGTCCTTCCTGGCTCTGATGGCCCCTTGGTCTGATTCCCAGAGCCTGCACAGAGCTGATGGGCTGGGCACTCAGAGGGAGTCCACTCCCAGGCTGGGAAGATTCTAATACTGCCCTCTTTGCCATCTCATTACGTTTTATTGATCATTTTAGATTACCACAGCATCTGGATGGGGAGTTACAAATTGAGTAATACAGTATGGAAACAGGCCCTTTGGCCCAAACTGATGTTCATCCACCTCTGGCAAGATCACCCAGAGATGGAGATGCACTGTTCGTTACTCAATGGAAGTCAGAACAATACCCACAGATTCAGGACATGGTCAAAATGAAGAAACATTCCAGAATATTGCAAGGTCAGAGCAGCTGTTTTTCATGATGCACATTTATGAGATTAAAATTCTGCCAGATTATGTTATGGGACAGGTAACAGGGAAGAGTTCCTCAGTAAAGGCAATTTATGAGATTATGGGTCCTCTGGATAAAGTAATGGACCAACTATTGGATTTTGCAGCAAAGAACATCCAAAATCAATGCAACAAAGGACAGAGGAGCAGACATAGGCTATTTGACCCGTCAAGTCTGCTCCACTATTCAATGAGATGATGACCGATACTCCCAAACTCCATTTTTCTTCTTTTTCCCTATAACCCTCAATTCCCTTACTGACTAAACATCTGTCCATCTTAGTCTTGAATATACTTACAACAAGGACATAAAAGATCCTCTAAATAAAAGCCAAAAGAACTGTGGATGCTGGAAATCAGAAATGGAAACAGAAATTGCTAGAAAAGCTCAGTGGATCTGCCAGCATCCGTAGAGAGAAATCAGAGTTAATGTTTCATTAATGTTTCCAGCCACCCTTCCTCTGAATTTCTGTTTTTGTTTATAAAAGATCCTCTGTTGGAGAAACAGTTCACAGACGAATCAAGGTCAGGATCAGAATCAACATCAAAGTCCTCAACCAAAAGGCTACCATAACCAAATTCTGAAAAGAGCACATTTTGGGAGAATTGTGAAACTCCAGACCGTCTGAGTTTGTGAAGCCAGAGTCTTCCAGTGGGTGGGGGGGGGGGGGGGGGGGAGGGGGAGGGGGGTGGTGAAATGCAGGAACTAACTTACCTTTCCATCAGTTGGAGGTAGATAATATTTTAGACATAAGATATTTGCACTTAAGGATAACATCACTGGAATTGAATCTCTGTTAGCAATGTTCCTGTAAATTTCCAAACTAAGTACTAACTTTCCACCACCGGGGGGACCTGTCGCTCTTTGTAGAGCATATCCTGTATTTTGGCATAACATGTGGGTTGGCTTAAACCAGAGAGCTATCTTAGACAACTTTCCATTGAGATCTGATTCATTAAAGTAGAATAAATGCCTGTTTTGTGTATGAACCAAAAATGCCTGGAAATTTTCTAACATAGCTATGGAGAACAAGTTGCCTATTATGATTGCATGTAATGTATTGCGTAAGGGGGAAGCAATTACATTTTCTCACCATGATAGTGCAAAACATGAACAAAACATTTGAAAATCTACATTATCCTTGGGATGTTTCTGTCACCCATGATATTTTGATCAGTATTCTCTGTGTGTGACATAGGGTTGCCAGTTGTGTTTGGATATTTATCACTTAACCTCCGATGTCCAATAATATATTTTAAACATGAGCAGAATTTTCAGATATCAAGTTTTGAAATTTGTCTTTTACTAACTTGAATCAATACCCTCTTACTCCGCACTCGCAATTTATTTTTCAGTGTACCTCATTAATGATAAAGTACAAGTCAGATTACATATCCAAGCAATGAACAACAGGAAAGAGCAAACAAGAAAAATAAGGGCCAAGTGAAGACAAGCGGGCCATAAACAAAGGTTTCTACTTTAGTTGGTGACATAAGATTGGAAAAAGTGCCAGGCTCGTGTGTAATTTAGAACCAAGCAGCTGGAGTGTGATACTAACCACTGCAGAAAATCATATTCCTTAATGTGGAGTCATACGAACCAAAAACACACCCAAAATTCCAAAATGAAAAGGTACGATTTTCACACCTTTTAACTGACAGAAAATCATATGGATTTTTAATTATTACGTGTTCATGGGATGTGGGTGTCACTGTGTAGGCCAGCATTTATTGTCCATCCTGACTGACCATAGGATACTTAAGCGTCAACCACACTGCTTTAAGTCTAGATTCACATTAAGGCCTGACTAAACAAGGATGCAGACTTCCTTTCTGAAAGGACATTAATGAACCAAAAATTGACAAATGTTCACCATTTGACCAGTTGTGTTTTAAATTCCAGACTTTTATTGAATTCAAATTTTTCATCTACCATACTGGGATTTGCATCTTTGCTCCCCAGAATATTAGCCTGGAACTGTAAAGTACTAGTCCACTGAAAGTGCCACTGCCATCACAACATCCACCTCCTCCCAAGTTTTGGGCCCTTCCTTAAAATGTTCTCATTGATACAATAGTGTTGGTCATTTAGATTAGCAGTCATAGCTTCCAGATGCTCCTTTCCATTCTTTTTGAAGGTGGATTGAAAAGGTGGGTGTTGTATTATGTGTTGTAACAGTGTGCCTTCAAGGGTACACGCTCATGATATCAATACTGCATCATGGCATTTGACCTAGTTAGATTGGATGAGATTAGATTGAAATTTATTGTCACATGTATGTAAAAATACAGTGAAAAGTGTTTTTTCAAGTGTTGCCAGGCTTCAGAGCCATCTTGAAACACTGAATATAAAGCAATACAATGCAAGTGGTACAAAGCTTGCTGTCTCCTTCTTGCTGAGCTCTGTTCACTTGCAGCATGATGCATTGAGGAAGGGCTTGAGTCCACACACACAAGAGCCTGCAACTGTAATGTATATCTGTAAATTCCAGCTGCTGTAATAAAAGGTCATTGCATTCTTCAGTGCTACATAACTCACACCTCCCCCTTATGAGAGTCAACATAACTATCACAGCATGATAGTTGTAGATCATCAGTAAAACTTGGCACATCATGTCAGTGGGAACTCTGCTAAATAATGGTATAGAACAAAATATTACCATCAAACTTACAAGATATTGCAGGTCCTACCACCGTGCAATTGCTGTGTAATATCCAAAATTCCCATTCTTAAAAAAAATTTCTTGGGAAGTGGGAAACACTGAAAAGTCTGAAACAATTAACAGTCCCTAATTCTCCAAATGACATCAAACAATCAGCACAAGAGTGTGAACTTAAAAATAGTTGATTGTTGGTGGGTTTAATTAGACGGTCACCATGCCTCAGGCTAAGGGGTGAGATCCAGAAGGTGGGACCTTTATGGTGAATTCAGCTAATGCATGAATTAAACCTATGCTGTTGGTCTAACTCTGCATTGGAAACCAGTCATCCAGCTTAGTGACCTACAGTAACGCTAACCAACACATTGGAGTCAAATGTCTTTAGAAGGCAGGATAAGAAAGTAAATCCACATACAGAGAAGACAAAGTTGTGAGATAGAACTATGAGCAACTTGACATGGGTGAAAAAGGTGCCCCCTTAAATTTCACATCAAGTGTAGTTTAAACAAACAGCACTAATAAAAATGGAGACTCTAAACAAAGAGGGTAAATAAAGGTGAAATCATAGAAGATACATTGAAATTGCCTCAATATTTGAGACGGTGAATTGGTAGCAACGATGATAAAAGGAAAATGTTCAATTACTTTATTGATCAGTCAGTGAATACATTTAATTTATGTAACTGAATTACCACTACCCAAAAACTTAAATATTTTGTGCTAAAACAAGTTATCATAGACTTTGTATTTGCAATTTGTCTTTTAAGATATCTAACATTGTACAGCACAATTCCGATGTGAACAAACAGAAATACAATTAATTATAACATTGTTGTATTCCTAATTAAATCCTAGTAAAGAAGGATTTCAGCCTCAATATTGGTACAAACATATTGTCACAACCACATACCTCATTTCCTCAAAGTGGTCCTTGAGTTAAGAATTTGTGTGCATGTACAAATAACCCCCTTTTCATTTAGGAGCAGTTCAATTGAAAAATAGTAAGCAAAGTTTTAGGCTTAAACAAGATAATGATTAGTTTATTTCAAAACACTGCTCAAGGTTATTTTAAATAATAATCATACACAGGTCTGTTGTAGGTCTATAGCTTGCAGCTGAGGTGTTGCTGAAGGGTTGAAATTGAAGAATTGTGTTTAACAGTTATGCTGCCTTCTACGGCCAAATACGAATAGAAAATAAGAGCAGGAGTAGGCCATTCAGCCCTTTGAGGCTGCTCCACCATTTAATGTCATCATGGTTGAATATCCAACACAGTACATGTTCCTGCTTCCTCCCCATATCTTAAGATCTCTTTAGCCCTAAGAACTATCTCAAACTCCTTCTTGAAAGCATTCAATGTTTTGGCCCCAACTACTTTCAGTGGCAGAAAATACCACAGGCTCACCACTGTCTAGGAGAAGAAATTTCTCCTCATTTCAGTCCCAAATAGTCTATCCCATACCCTTAGACTGTGACTCCAGGTTCTGTAACTCTCCAGTCATCAGGAACATCCTTCCCATGTTTAGCCTATCTAGTCCTGTTAGAATTTCCCCACCTCTGTGTTTAGACAGGACTAGCCTCGTGGTCTACCAACACTGAACTTTACTTCAGGCTCTGCTGCCCATGTCTAGTTCTGAGAGTCTGGTCACCATTGTCAGTATATAGTAATCTACACTCCTGGGAGCGAACAGGGTTTATTGAACATAAGTATAAACAGAGGTTGGTAGGAAAGGCTATCTTACTTGGAGCTATCAGACCCAGACTTCCAAACCATGTGATCTGACATCAATATGGCATAGTTTCTTTTCCACAGGCTCAGTAACTATACTTAGAGTAAAAAGTACAATTTCTTTGACTCACAGTAGCCAGCATGACAAAAAATACATTGGACAGGATTTTCCACTTTTCAGTTGTCAACTCTCTTCTGTTCATTGAAATAAATATGTAGAAAATCTTGGGTAACTAAGCAGCAAATGGAAAGCCCAAGTCATCATTTCCAACAATTAACATGACGAATGGTTTATGCCTGTATGTGATTTTAACAAAAAGGTCAAATATTAAAGTGTATTCACAATTTTTGTATACTTGCAGTAGCAGTGGGATATTAACTTAAAAATTTAAATCAGCCTGAGTGTCAACTTTCAATTGTTTCCACACCTTTTAAAATTGTCAGAAAATTATCCAATATTTTCCACTTCCAGAGAACAGTCAATTTGGACTTGAAATATTAACTCTGTTTCTCTCTCCACAACAGCTGATATTTTCTAGCACTTTCATGTTTTTATTCTGGATCTCCAGCATCCACACTTTTGTGCTTTTATCCATTATTACGACTTATTAAATAATTCACAGGAAATTGCTGAGTAACAAAGAAACATTTACTGATTTCCAACCTTCCATGAACGACATTGGAATGCAATAGTGGTTGAGAGTAATTCCAATAACATTCAAGAAGTTTGACACCATCTCAAACAAAGCAGCCTGTTTGATTGGCACCACATCCTCAAAACTTCACTTCCTCCAGCACTGACGCTCAGTAGCAGCAGTGTGTACCACCTACAAGATGCATTGCAGAAATTCACCCAAGATCCTTAGACAGCACCTGCCAAACTCACAATCACTTCCAAGGGTGGGAGATACATGGGAACACCACCACTTACAAGTTCTCCTCCAAGCCACCCGCAATCCTGACTTAGAATATAATCATTCCTTTACTGTCACTGGGTCAAAATTCTGGAATTCCTTCTCTAATAGCATTGTAGGTCTATCAACAACGCATGAACTGTACTGGTTCAAGAAGGCAGTTCACCACCACTTTCTTAAGGGCAAATAGGGATGGACAATAGTGAAGGCGCAACCAGTGAAAGTCAAATCTCCTGAATACAACAAAACAATTGACTGGGGAGGTGACATTGTATTCTCCCCTGAACTGAATCTAGCTAACTCTCATTTTCCAGATCTTGCTTTTATACTCTTACAAATGCAAACCAATTTGTTTTTGCTTAGTGGTAAAGATCAATTCAAATTGGAGATGTTTTGCTGTCCTGCAAATCAACCAGATGCCACTCAGTCTGAGGGATAGGTTTGAATTGAGATGGATTTTTATAGAGAGCAGTAATTTCACACAGGGCATGATAGATGATAAACCTCTAGCTCCAAAGGGAAGCAATGTCACCGACAAAACTTTGAATTTGAACCAAAAGTTGAGAAAGTGCAGCATAATAAAGACTAGAATGAAATGAATAAGCTGCATGCAGACAGAATATAGCCTCAAAAATTATTTTTTGCACCAATTTGTCATTACTGCAAAAGGCTGACTCATGGCATTAAAATGTCCAAATACTAATTGCCTCCAGCTATTTGACTAAATTGTTTCCTATATTAAGTGAGAGATCATACCCTGAAGCAAAATGCATGCATATTTGGTTTTAAAAGTTCATTTATAAATTAAGAGTTGGGCTCCAATATATGAGCAATTTTAAGTTGCATTATGTATATATATTTTAAAAACTGGCTGCTTTCCAATACACAACTTCCGGCAAAATACATTTACTTTCACTAGCTCTAAGCAGCGCTACTGTATATTCTACCTCACATATTGCTGCGAGGTTAAAGATTTTCATTCTGAAAATACCAGGAAATCTGTCAAGCGTTTTTGCACCGTTGGCTCGATCTCATTGCTTTTTTTTTTCTTCCCATCTCCCTATTTGATTGCATGAAGAATATGAAACTTAGATCCCTAAAGTAAAAATGTGAAAATCCTCGTTGGCATTCGGCAGCTTCCCACCTGAATGCTTACTAATTTACAAAGCAGACTGATTTATGAACGAAGCGAACTTGTGATATATTTCACCAATTAATTAAGTGCTATAAACCTCTGCTACCATACAAAGAATAGCTTCCAATTAACAAACCCTATTTACGAGCATAATTTAAACAAACGAATGAGACAAAACATGGATGAAGTAATTTTGAAAGTATTCTTCGTGATTGGCTAATGCCATAGTTTTCAAGCATGCAAATTTTATTATCCATTTTAGCAATCCATGTGATGACGGTCACAGTTAAGAACACGTGTTTATATGAACGTAAAATGAATTTACAATTATAAAAGACAGAGGCAGACTGGAAAGAAATGAACGTTGATGAAAATGTTTAAAAATCTTAAACTTACCTGGTAAGTGGAAGTGAAAAGTAGGATGCGAAAGAAGAGAGCCTGCATGGTGTGGATTCACAACACGAGTTGGCAAGTGCTGGGAATAAACTGTGCATGAAGGGAGATCTCTGTCTTAAAACCCACAAGGACCTCTGTTAGCTTTCATATTTTCATTCGTTCCCAGTACTTCCCTATGACCTTCCTGAAGCATTCCGCATTCAAAACATCTATCCTGCCAACGGGCATACTTTGGGCACTTGTTTTCCTTTTCGGGATGCCTTTATAAATAATTTAATTCTGAAGGTTATAGATCAATGTTAACGCCACTTAATTTGCATTTATATAGCACCTTTAACACTTCGCAATCGGACAAAATTTGGCTCTGAGCCAAAGGAGAAGATAATAAGCTGAATAAAACAAAAAAAAAGCTTGAATCAAATAGCTTGGTCTTAAAGAAAGAGAGAGAATTGGAAAAGCTTAGAGAGGGCCTTAATCAGAGTTTGGTGCCTAGATGGTGCAAGCGTGGATGTCAATAATGAGTTGAAGGAAGGCCGGGGTGCACAAAGGTCCAGATTTGGATTAAACGGTGTTTTGGGGTGCCATAAGATCGGAGGAGTTTACAGAAGTATGGAAATCTTACGCTATGAAGATACTGCATGACTCAGATCTTTTAAGACAAGGTGTCGGTGTTGTTTGCAATAATTTGCTTTAAGGGAACTTGACAAGAGACAGGATGCAGGTAACATAATTTAGGTTGAGCTGAGCTTAATATAATACAGGAGTGCAGGAGTCGGGTCAGGGGAGTTTTAGACTAGCTAATTCTCAGGATAATAAAAGCGTGAATGAGAGATGCACCGAGGCACTGGTCGGGAAGGAGAATGGAATGGGCAACTCAGGAACAGAACTCATGTTGGAGGAAGCAAAGCAGTAGCTTCGACATTCCAATATTTAACTAAATAATATTTTGACTTTTCCAGGCCTGTCTGATTACAGTGGAGATGTGTGTGATTGAAAAATCAGGCACAGGTATGAATTATCAGTGTACACCAATTCAGTTTATAGTCTTTTCGAGAATGTTTGCTGTTTCATTTATCGTAGCTTTTGCATTGAAATGACAACCGATTCAACCCGAAACGTCAGCCTTCCTGCTCCTCTGATGCTGCTTGGCCTGCTGTGTTCATCCAGCTCTACACCTTGTTATCTCAATATTTTGTTAAGCACAGCTTTAAGAGAAAGCCGCTGTGTAACCTGATACAAACACTTTTTTTTAAAAGAAAAGAAACCCCAAATAGAAATAGAGGAAAATAGTACATATGTGAAAAAAAAAAGATTTGTTCACATCTGGCAGTGGCATTGAAAAGTATAGTGAAGGGCATTGAAAAATGTTGGGCATCAGAAAAACAACGGTCTTTTTCCACTTGTCTTCAGAGAAATGCAATACAGTCTGCTATGTCATTTTTATTTTATTCATTCACGGGATGAGGGCATCGCTGGCCAGGCAGCATTTACTACCCATCCCTAATTGCCCAGAAAGCAGTTAAGAGTCAACCACATTACTGTGGGTCCGGAGTTACATGTAGGCCAGACCAGGTAAGGATGGCAGTTTCCTTCCCTAAAGGACATTAGTGAACCAGATGGGTTTTTCCGTCTGACAATCAATGACAGATTCATGGTCATCATTAGATTCTTAATTCCAGATATTTCTTGAACTCAAATTCCACCATCTGCCATGGCAAGATTCGAACCCAGGTCCCCAGAACATTATCTGGCTCTCTGGATTAACAGTCCAGTAATAATACCACTAGGCCATCATATTTTCATTCCAAATAATGCTAAACACGGAACAGTACTGATTAATCAGCTGAAGGGACTGGTAGATGGTGATCAGCAGGAGGTCTCTTTACCTGTGCTTGACCTGATACTATGAAACATCTTGGGATTGAGAATCAGTGTTGAAGATTTCCGGGGCACGTCTCTTCCAACCGTATATTACTGTGCCAGTGTCTCTGGTGAGTTTGCCCTGTCTGTGGACATAAACATGCCCAGGAATAGTAGTGCTGTCTGGGGCATTGTATGTAGGTTATCATTCTATGAGTATTGTCAAGCTGTTGCTTAACTAGGCTATCAGAGAACTCTTCCAATTTTGGCATAAGCCCCAAGATATTAATAAGGATGACTTTGCAAGTTCTACAGGACTGTGTGTACTGGTGTCATTTCTGTTATCTTCGTCGAAAGTTGAAGGGTTGGTCTGTCTGGTTTCTTTACAGTAATCACAATTTGTAGCAGTTTGATACAACTAAATGGCTGGTGAGGTCATTTCAGATGGCAATTAAGAGTCAAATACACTGCAAAGGGTCTGGAGTACATAAAATATAGACCAGACTAAGTAAGGATGGCAGATTTTCCTTCCCTAAAGAACATTAGTGCATTCGATGAGTTTTTATAATAATCAATAACAGACACCTTTGTTTAATTTCAGGTTTTAATTCCACCTATATTAATTGAATTCAAATTTCACCATTGCCCTGATTCAGTTCAAACCTGTGTCCACACAACATTGGCCTATATCTCTCAATTACAAGTATTCAGCTGCAAGCCCCAATCATATTACATTGATTGTGCAATGATTTTTTTGCAAGTTTTAAAGGTACAATATCATTGCTACTAGTTTTACTTATACTGTTAAAATCATTGAATAATTATTTCTATGGGTAGAAAAAGAAAATTAACATGTCATTGCAATCCATTGAATGCAATGAAGGAGGAACCTGGTTTTTAACTTTTCTACAAATTTTCTGCACGTTATGTAAAAATATGTGGGCCGAGAAATAGCAAATGGAGTTTAATATAGATAAGTGCGAGGTGTTGCATTTTGGAAAGTCAAATCAAGATAGGAGTTTCATGATGAATGATAGGGCCTTAAGGAGTGTAGTGGAACAGACTGACCTTGGAGTTCAGGTGCACGGTTCTCTGAAAGTGGAGTCACAGGTAGACAGGGCAGTGAAGAAGGCTTTTGGTGCACTGGCCTTTATCAGTCAGGGCATTGAGTATAGAAGTTGGGAAGTTATGATGCAGTTATACAGGACGTTGGTGAGGCTGCACTTGTAGTATTGTATTCAGTTTTGGGCACCTTGCTATAGGAAGGATGTTCTTAAGCTGGAAAGAGTGCAGAAGAAATGTACAAAAATGTTGCCAGGACTCAAGGGACTGAGTTATAGATAGAGGTTGGGCAAGCTAGGACTTTTTTCTTTAGGCAGTAGGAGACTGAAGGGGGGATCTTACAGAAGTGTATAAGATCATGAGAGGCATGGATAGGGTGATTGCACTCAGTCTTTTTCCCAGGGTTGGGGAATCGAGGAGTAGAGGGCATCAGTTTATGGTAAGAGGGGAAAGAATACATGGGAGCCTATGGGGCAACTTTTTTACACAGAGGGTGGTACACATATGGAATGAGCTGCTAGTGGAAGTAGTTGAGGCGGGTGCATTAACAACATTTAAAAGAAATTTGGATAAAAACATGGATAGGAAAGGTTTAGAGGATATGGGCCAAGTACAGGGAAATGGGGTTGGCATGGATGGACAGTTTGGTCAGTGTGGGCTGAAGGGCCTGTCTTCGTAGGACTCTATGACTCTAACTTGAATGCATCAGGTTTTGAGTCTTCTCAGTTTAGATGTGCAAGGTTTACTGACCAGAAGTAACAGGTGGCGATAACACAACAGTACTTAAACTGAATGTAAAGGTGGGGAGGGAGAGCATGGGAGATCTTCACAGCTCTATAATAAAACTGTGAACCTCAACCAGCTACTGCCCACCATAATGCCCACTCAGCATTTCTCCGCCTAGCCCCACCCATTAAGAAGGAAATCTAGAATATACTCCCAGATTCTCCTGAACATCCACTATGGCTGGGAAATAATTAGAAATTATGTTTACATCGGACAGTAATTGTCTTGTTTAAAAGATCAAGGAAATTCTCAGTGAAAGAACTTTAAAGTGAGTACAATAAAAGAAACTTATAAGCGAAATTCATAGTTTGTGCTTCTGGTTCATATGTTCATAGTCTATGTTGAAAATTTAGCCACAAGCTGTAACTGTAAATTGTGTAGAATTTCTGAATATGCTACAATTTCTGATATGTGCTGTTGGCAGATGAGATTTCCTGCCAGGATCAGGAAGTTGGTCGAAGGATTATGTACAGTGCAAACTGGAATTTCAAATATGCCCTATTGGTGGTCAAGGCTCCCTGCCAAAATATAAAACTAGAAAATAAATTCTTTAAAGGTAGGCTACTGTGTTCAGAATTACTGTATTTGAAAATGAATAGTTTGAGGCCCCTTTATTTTGACTGAAGTTGGTAAACGTAATGAAATATGTTAAAGGAGAGCACAATTCAAAATTCCTGTATAATCTTGAACATTCATTAAGAGAAATCACAAGATATATTGCAGTCACTCAGTTTTCTCTTGTAACCATTCAGAACTTCCAGTTAGAAACATGAATTAGGCTATAATGCTTTTACTTGAAAATGTTTTGGAAGATTTGCAAACTGTCTGCATTCAGTTCTAAATGCGTACAATGCAGTACCAACAGCATCCGAGCAGTGTCACATTTAGGAGTTATGAAGCTACTTGTTGAAATATAATTCTGTTTTAATGTACCCAGCAATCCAGTTATATTGAGCAGAGATTTTTCTGGTTGATATACATTCAGATGGTGGGTGGTTAAAATGTTAATGAATCAAACTTAGCCTACATCAACACTTACTGAACACTTCACACTAAACCTATCAGTCCCTTTTGGATTTGAAAAGATGGGCTTTGAAGATAAATATACAGTTCTACCTTCAAAAAGATATATTCAAAAGCAGTCATCATGATGTAAAGATGGTTATAGAAGAGCAGAAGTAGGTTTGTTGAAGCGGTTACTTTGTTTAAGTCAGGCAAGATGAAGCACTGATATTAGACTATCTGAAGATGAACTGGAATTTACAGCACTAGTGGTGGAGCTAATCTTGAGGTGAGTTTCAAGCTAGAGAACTGCCAGTGTTTGCCACCAGTACTTCTCTGAAACAGGTAGCAACTTCTGGAGTCCATACGTGTGCAGTTAAATGTGGACATATGGAAGTTGTTGTCAGTGATTCTGCACTTTCTCATAATCTTCTGTATTGTTGAGATTCCCTAGACTACCATCAAGCAGACATTATTGAACTGATGAAACTTTGTCTTTTTATCAA